GGTACAAAGCTAGCTGAGTGGCCTCAGCCCAGTCATACTCCCTCAGCCCTAGGAAGCAGGCAATGGCAAACCACTTCTGAAAATCTTGCCAAGAAAACTGCAGAGACTTTCCAGGCAGTCACCAGAAGTCAACGCTGACTCAAAGGTGTGCGCACACACACACACCTTCCACATGCATGTGTATAATATATAGGTGTGTCATATAGAGAGAGCCATGGAGATAATCTGGGGACTCCAGGCAGGGGCAGTGACAGTTACATAAACAAAACATACTTTAAGCCTGGGCAACAGTGAAAGCATGAGAATGAAGCTCAGACTGACACCTCCATTCATTATAATATAAGAGGGAGGAAGTGAGCAGTCTTTCAAGATTCTGTTACTATAACCTATATCCATCAGATTAGTAGAGTATGTTTCCTTTTTGTGGACTACAACAAAGAATTGATAGTTTGTATGTTATATATGTCACTGACTTGATGTCACATAATCAATCAAAATCACACACTCTCTCTCACACACAAAAGTCTATATGTCCCGGAAGAATTGTCCATAAGAAGAACAAAAGTAATTGGTCATTGCTCTCTTGAAGATAAAGGTGGATAAGCACAACAGCAGGGGAACTGTCCAATGGAAGGACATTGCATCCTGCAGTCCAGACTGAATACCTTGCAAGCTGTTGTCAAAGTATTTCATCCAGACAGGATTCTTAAACTGGTTTAGAGTTAAGTCAGCATAAGCACAGGACAAGAGTGCCTTAAGTAGTAAGTGCTGTTATGCCTTATGTGTAAGAATAAACCCAGCTGAATAAACAAAATGTTACATCTCAGGAAACATGCATAAATTTATGCTGCAAGACCCACCTAAAGCAACGAGAAATAGACTATACATAACTCGTTCCACTGAGAAACCAGAGAGGTTTTTTTTTCCCTAACCAGTTGTGCGTAGGATTGTAATCTTCTAATGCATTTTTCCCCCCACATAATCTCACTGCATTCATTGGAACTTACTTGCAGGTAAATACAATTACCACTATACTCTAGAAAGATTAGGTTAGACATTCAGGGCTTTTTCACATTTCACTATGTAAGTATATTCTGAACCAGCATTACAGTGAGTGATACGGATAAATCAACAATATAAAATGGACTTGAGATTGTTTTATTATTGTTGTTTAATCATGACTATATTATAGAGTAAGCTTTAGCTTACATCTAAGGTAAAATTAACAGAAAATAAAGAAATGTACACATACAAAATATGGACTTTCTGAATGGATATATAGGATAACCAAAGGAAACAAATGATTATTCAGAGTAAAGATTCCCTTAAGTTGAGCTTCATACAACAATGAAGTTCTGCTGTGTTGAGAATTAGAGGAACAGTCATCCATCCATGTCTGATATCTATTACTTTCAAGAATCGTCATTGAAAAGCAAAATAAAACTTTCAAACTATGCATTTAAAAGCATACTTTCTGTAGCGACATATATTCAAATGTATAATTTCTCTCAAACACATTTATTATTTGGATACATTTCAGTTGTCAAGAAATCCTGTTCAGCATTAGGAAAAGTACAAAATGGATGGCTAAAACCCAATGTGTCTGAGAATGAAGACTGAATCATTTTGCATGATCTAATATGTTCACTGAGTCCTGTGTTGTACACTGTGTTTTAGGAAGGTTGTAAAAGAAGTGTATTATAAAAAAGCAAATAATCAAGAATTCATAATTCAACATCAAAGTTGCCTGGCATTTTTGCTGACCATGCTTTTGAGCACATCTGGATGATAGTTAAAAGGCACAGGGAGCTGAGTCACTTAAAAAACAAAAAGTGACACTACTCCATATATATGAGAAAAAATGTGCTTAAAAAGTGATTTGTTCAGCCCAACCAAAGAGCAGACACCCCACCCCAGCACAGTGACTGCTGTTTTCTAACCACAGAATGAAACAGCTTGTACTCTTGTGGTCCAGCTCCTTTCCCACACACACTAGGAACCAGAGCTTCAACCTTTCACTTTGTATTATTCAGCAAAATTGATTTCAGATAGATAGATAGATAGATAGATAGATAGATAGATAGATAGAGGCATAGGCTACAGATTTGTGACTGAGAGCCAGTGTGGTGTAGTGGTTAAGGCATCAGGCTAGAACCTGGTCCCACCTTAGGCCCAAAGCCAGTTGGATGACCTTGGGCCAGTCACACTCTCTCAGCCCTGAGAAGGAGGCAGTGGCAAACCGCTTCCAAAATCTTGTCAAGAAAACTGATTCATGACGTAGTGAAAAAGTATTAATCATTTCAGTACCAGTCCACAGGAAATACACTGTTAAATGTTATTTGCGGCAGCTTTTCTCAAGCTGGTATCATGTTTATTGGAAATTGTAGGAGATGAAGTCCAACACATGAAATAGGAAATACTTATTTATGGGCAGTGTCGATGAAGTAATTGAACTGAAGGACAATTGACCAATACGATTCAGATACTTGTATATCTGAATAGGTATTCAAACACAATTCGAGCCACTAACCTGGCAAAGTCAGCCGATCTGTGGAATCAGGAAGAGATCCTGGTTTCATTACTTGTTTTGAACCTTTAAGAATAAAAACAGATGAATTATTGTTATGGCTTCCACCAACAATAATTTCCTTATATCTTAATATATTTGTATTTGCTTCCCCTCCACTGCTGTAACCTCAGATTAAAAAGCCAAATTGCTGATGTGCCACCGTAGTCACCATGATTAAGTCAACATGATGTGGGCTGCAAACCTCTGGATGACCACTAGATGGCAGTAGTCATCTGGATTTTTACAGCCCTGAACTGGTAGCCCTAACTCTATGTCTACTTTTAGATAATTTCAGATAATATAACTTAGTGCCTTGGGCTATGCACTCCTACTTATTGCCCTCCTGGAGATCAGAAGCATTCAATCCTGGTTTGTACCATCTCAAGATTGCAAACCAAGATCCAATTATACTTTGCAATCTTGGTTTATTGGCATGGAAATTGTGGTTTGCACAGTGTGATTTCCTGGATTTTGATAAAATTGCAATCCATAGCTTGCCTCAGAGCAGGATGTGTAAGCTTTTCTTTCCATGTAAGGGAAAGTGGGAGGAGAGAGCATGAGACCCTGAATAAGGCTTTTGCTTGCTACAGAAGAACTCCATGGAAGCCACACTCCAGTCTGTTGTAGTTATTTGGGTTTTCACTAGACCTGCTCACTTTTTTCCCACTAAGTTGATTGCAAAAACCAGATATGGCAAAGGGCACCAAAGTTAGCAGACTGTCAGGTTGTGCAACCACAAAACACACAGTACATTATGAAACCCTGATGAATAGGGACTAGATATTAGAAGCATTTCCAGCAAGCATGCCAATGGTGAGATATGTTAGAAGTCTGTGGCCCACTCCTGTCTTAATGAATGCAGTTGAACTGAATTAAGCCAAGACATCTCATTATAGTTTACACTGCTGAGTGTTTTAAAAGACCCAGATAAATTCAGATAGGGGGATATCTCTCAATATATATATGTAAAAAAAAAAAAGTTTAGAAAGCAGAGCAATGCTAACTTGAGGAAAATGGCTTCTAAGGTTTTTCTCTTCCATGAAAGTTTAGATCTCGCTACTACTAGTAGTATGAGAAGGATCCATCCTGCTAAAAATAATAGGAAAAGATCTGCTCCCTTTTCCTTATAAAGGTCCCTTCCACACTGCCAGTGTTTTCTGCCTAAAACCTCAGAATCAAGTTCAAGGTAGCCAATGTACATCCACACTACCTCTATCCCCAAAACATACATAATAGTCAATAGAAATAGTCAATTAGGGCACTCTTCAGTTGGCCAATAGGAATGTGCTAAAAAAAAAAATCCAAGCACTGCCCCAAGCCCCTGACATATTCTGTTTTGCTTTGTTCAGCCACCCTGACAACCAAGACACCATTCCTCTGCATTTTTATTAAAACAGTAGAAGTGACAGGAGGAAGTGATGGTGACTTAATCTCTACGAGGAGATGGGACAGCCCAAGAACCAGGAATGAAGATGAGGTAAGATTTCCCACCAAATCCATCTTAGTTCAGTTCCCAACCTCTGAAGAGCTCTGCCACTGGTCCTGGAAAACTGGACTCACTGTGCTGAAAATAAGATGATTCAGCTTCTGCCGCTATCATAAGCTCATGTGGGTACCGAGCCAATCTGGGAGCATTAACAACACCATGTTTAGATGTGCCTTAAATCCTATTACAACACTGATGGTCATTCTAAAGCATCTTCATTATTTCCTTAGATATAGATAAGCAGAGCTGGGATTCAATACAAATGGAGATCTCATTGCTTTTATTTGGTAATAACATGAACATACAGGAATTCATTTACAGAAAAAACAAAAAGCTGTGAAACCAATTTATACATTTAGAGACAACACGCCTCTTCTTCCCAGTTAAAAAAAAATACAATAAATATATTTTTTCTAAAAAAATACTCTCACAAGTGTTGAAAATAATCATTGCTGCATGTCTACAAGCCACTTATATTTTGAGCCTAAGCTGGAACAAACCAAGGATGTTTGCTTAGGATATTGATGTCCTCCTTGTTTGAGCAATGAATTCAAATGAGCTTTCTCTTATTGGATGGTGCAAAAAGTTCATTATCCCCTCCTAAACATTTTTCTTTGGAAAATAATTGTAGATGATACGCATCCACATTTTCCAAAAGCATGACCATATTTAGGTGTACAGTGTACATTGGATCAGCCTTCCCCAATCTTATGCCTACAGAAGCTTTGGGACCATAACTCCCAGAATTCCTAGCCAATATATGTAAAGTTCATGTTGGCTAGAAATCTAGATAAAATATCCGGAGGGTGTCAGGTTGGAGAAGACTGAGTAAAATATTTCATGTGTATAATAATTAGCAATACGATAAGCATATATTAGAAACCAAGTATGTCATATACTCATTTTCTGTTACATATATAAAATCTGTAAAATGGCCCTGAGTTCATTTCAGTTGAGATATCTCCGTTGTATATTCTTGCTAATATGAAGCAAAATGCTAGGTATGTATTTGGATCCTTCTTGATGCCAGCTTAAGGTGGAAAATAGTTATGAGACCAGCATACTTAGATTCATTTTTTCTCTCTCTCCCCTTGACAAAAGGTCACCGAGTTCATTTAGTTTAAGTGCTATTACAGTAATTTTAGGATAAGCATTAGGTAATACAAGGAAAAAATAATGCCTAGTTTTATATAATATCCACACTATCTTGTATCTTCCTGCAAATTTCTACTGAAATGATGCCCCAGTCATTGCTTCCATGCTATTATATTAGATAACTTTATGAAAGAATGACATCTGAATATAGGAATATTAGACGACCTAAGTCTACAAGCCCAGAACCAGTTTTTCAAAATCATTAACTAGAAGTTTCTGGGAAACTCACAAGTAGGACATGAGGGCATAGCATTATGTTGACCTCCAATATCTGGCATTGGGTGGGCAAGGGAAAGTTCATATAGTTGACCTGACCCATTGACAGTCAAATTGTTCAAGAATCTGGCTGAGCAGCTGTACTAATAGCTATCATCATATTTTATGGCAGCAGATTCTTTAATTAAATTATTTATTGTGTGGTATACTTTCTTTTGTCTGTCCTGATAGCAGACAACATGTAACATGTTGTTACACAGAATTCTTACGGAGTATCAGAGTTAGTTGCAGAATTTACAGAATTTTTGCAAATGTTGTCCCAAATATCTAGATGGGCAAGGCTTTCAGTGATAATTGCTGAAGGCAACATTTTTGTTTTCCCAAAATATAATACACCCGAAGTTCTAGTTCCTCAAATGCAATGGAATAGAATTGAATTGAATCAAATTGAATTGATTAAATTTAAGCACTGTCCAACTTCAAATTTACTCTGGCTGGTATATAATGAAACCAAACAAAACAGAAAATACCATACAAAAAAGGCTTTTTAAAAAAGGAATAAAGAACAAGAATGGATGGTGAGTCTGCCTAAGCACACCCAAACTCCCAAGCAAATCTGACAGGGGGCCCCAACCACCCTAACGCAAGGCCTGGGAGAACAGCCAGGTCCTTATGGCTTTCCAGAATGCCATCAGGGGGAGCCACATGGATATCAGGGAGAACCTCATTCTAGAGGGCAGGCGCCATGACAGAGAATTCATACTTCTGGGGTCCCAATAGATGACATTATTTAATTGAAGGGACTCAGAGCGCATCAACCCTGGTGGCTAGTACTGGCTGGGAAGACACCACAGGAGATGGGCAGTCCCTCAGATAACCAGGTCTTATGCCATGTAGCGTTTTATTCATGCATACTGTACTGTGGATGAAAAAACAGATACCATCACAAATATCTCTTTTATAGCAAATGATACAGTTCTTTGATAGCAGCCACAATTTCCTGGAACTGCAATTTCTATAGTCTTGAATGCTAGGAAAACAAACATAGTAGCTGCAACTATACTTGCTAAGAAGCTTGGAGCAGGCAATGGTGCTTTCCGTCAACATCAACAGCAGGGTATTCCCTGACATTTACCCAATTATATGATGGTATTAGATTTGTCTGGTGTCCTCTTTCAGCAGAAAAACAAAGGTTCAGAAAAAGTTGATTAGTTTCCATCAATGCTTGGTTTTATAAAAATTGGGCAATGCTGCCAAATGCATAGCGAGATCAGTTTGGATCAGGAGTCTATTGTTATCACAGTGAAGATTCTGAAAATGGCTTCCAACAACCAGGGAATTGCATATCCATCAGCAGTGGTTTGATTTTATACATCCTTTACAGCCAGGACAGAGAAAAGACAGATCAGACTGACCAAAAACTGCAGGCTCCAAGGCTCTTAAATTTGGGCACATCTGCTGACAGAGCAATCTATTTTTATGGTTGAACTCAATGCATTAGGATAGAATTTCAACATGAATCTGAAAATAGACCGAATTGCTTTGTACTTCTGGAAATCTCACAAATGTCTTACTAATACACCCATATTTCTCTCTGTGTAAGTCAGATGCTAAAAGGCAATACTAGGAGAGGGAAAAGAATCCCCTTTGTCCAGGTAGTCAAAATGGGGGCTTCTGCCTTTCCCTCACATATTGGTTAAAAGGAGGGTGAACTCCTGACATGTTGATCTGAATCATGTTAAGTGGCAAACGACCAGCTATACTGTATATTTTTAAACTAGGCAAGCACTGATTTAGCATGATATGTTGGTAACTCTTGTGAAGGCCAGCTTAAAATATGTAATAGCAAACAAATACAGATGCAGCAGGTATGGTACATTCCTTCTACTGAGGAAAAGCATTTATAAAACTAAATGCTAAGGAACTGGAATGTTGTGTTCTGTCAGGGAGCTTCAAAAGCTTCCATTTGTTCATGAAGCAGTCATTTTCATTCATTTTCCAAGTGACAATACAGATAGAAAAACACATTAGTAACACACTTAGATTCTTTCATTCCAACAAATATAGAAGCTTGAAAGAACAAGATGTGCAAAGCTATGCTGTTTCTGAATGTTGGAATAAGAAGTATAAAACACGTATCTTAGAATTTCCGCTTTGTAGTTTAGAA